ATAATAATAATAATAATAATAATAAACAACTAACCTTTCTTTCAACAAATATTTATTGAGTGACCACCAACTCTCAGCACTAGCCTAGGTGCTGGGGAAAGAGCAGTTAATGAATGAGACAAAATCATGATATTTGTTTTCCAGGGAAGGGAGATATACACCAAATGAAAAATACCAACATTTCAGATTACGGTAAATTCTATGGAGAAAACGAAAAGAGGTGAACGGAATAAGGAATGTAGGTATGTGTGTGCATTAAGCATGGGGCAGTTAGGTAAGTCTGCTTTGATAAGGTAGCGCTGAACAGAGACTGGAAGGAAGGCAAAGGGCAAGCCGTGTACAGATCTGGGGAAAGAACTTTCTAGACAGAGGGGACCACAAATGCAAAAGGCCGGATAGAGAAGCAAGTTTTCTTTGGCAAACAACGTTGGGGCAAAATGTACAGGGAAAAGTGATAGGAGATGAGGTCAGAGAGACAATGGGGCCAAATTGCAAAGGGCCATGGAGGGCACTGGAATGACTTGGGCTTTTCCTCTGAGTGTTGTGGGAGCCATGGGCAAGTTTAGAGCAGAGGAGTGACATTCTGGCTGCTGGGAGGAGGCCGGATAGAGAGCGAGAGGCTGGGAGCAGGAAGGAGGAATGGCAGGGACTGCTGGTGGCCATTTAATTGCTACTCGTCCTTTCCTATTTTAGTACTAGAACCCTGATTTTTTGGTGACCACAGTGTGCCCAGCTGAAATCTGTTTCTTGGATCTCCCTTAGAGCTGGACCATAGTCCTGTGACTATGTTCTGGCCAAAGAACTGCAAGAAGATGATTGGTAGCATTTTTGGAACCGTGTTTAAAAACAGCCTACTCCGCTGGGAGGAGGTCTTTTTTCTTCTTTTGCTTCCTCCTATAAACAAAAAGGCTGGAGCTCCAGTGGCCATCTTGAATCATCAGGTGTCCTTTAGAACGAGGATGGTGGAACAGAAAGCTCCGATAGCTCCCCGATGAGAGCATGGAGATGCCCCACCAACTCTGCACTGCCTATTTCTGGACTTGTTTCACATGAGAGAGAAATGCACTCCCATTTTGTCCAAGCCATTGTTATTTGGGATTTTTTAATTTTATACACGGCTGAACCTGAACATAACCAGTACTGGAGCCCATGGCAATGCTCCAGGTGAGAGAGCTGGTGGACCAGCGTGGTAGCACAGGAAGTCAGATTCTCATTATGTTTTTGAAGGTAGAGCCTTTAGGATTTGCAGATGGGTTAGACACAGGAGTAAGGGGAGGAGAAAAAGTAAGGATGACTTCTGAGTTTTGCATCAAGTGTCTCAATAGCGCCATTAATTGCAGAGAGGCAGAAGGCTAGAAAGAGAGCATGCAGGGGTGTGGGGCTGGGCTGGGGTGGAATCAAGAGTCCAGGGCAGTGGCAAGTTGGCCTCGCTAGAAGCAGGGAAGGACACAGTGAAACAGGAGGGCAGGTAGAGAGCGTGGGCCATGCACTCGTGGAAAAATGAAGGCGCTCCTGTCCAATGCTTCCATTCTTTCAATCACGTACAAGGCCGGGTCATCAACCGAGACTGAAGGGATGGAGGTAGAGGGTGGAGGTGGGAGGAGAGAGACAGAAGGGTGAAGTAGTCATTTTAGAGCGGGGATTGCTGGGCAGCAACGAGCGAGCTTCACTGGACATTTGGGCTAATTTAAAGTGAAGCGGTTAGCAATACTGTGTGTCTTTTGGCAGTCCAGTCCTGCGGCACCGTTGGGTTGCACAGGGGTTTTGCCAGGCAAGTACTCACGATGTAAAACGAAAGGAACTAGGGAATGAATGAAGGGGTGTCTGCAAGTTGGGGATCACAAGGAAGGATCAGGAATCAAAACTGGAGAAGGAAACAAGTGAACACACGAGAGGAATGATGGATTGAAAATTTGAGGGTTCCTGAAAAGGCTGAAAAATGGCCAGAGTGTGGGCACTCGAGGAGCTAAGCAGAAGGACAGGAGCTGATGGTTAGAGGGGGCTACTGTCAAAAATGAGGGGCTCAGATGAGAGAAAGGAAAAGTCACTGAAGAGAAAAGGGATGGAGAAGTCCAAGATACTAGATGGACGTCAAGGTGTTAAAGTATAATAAATGTAAGACTAAGAATAAAAATTGTTCACAAATTCCTATAATGAGTTGATTTATTAACTGTTTTGAATAAGATAACATTCATCAGTATAAGTACTTCAGATTAAAAGGTTTTTTTTTTTTTTTTTTGATGGGACATTTATAGTACTCCAAAGAGCAAAGTTTTACCCCCAAAATTAAGTTTTTGTTAGGTGAAAATACAAAACATTTTTTTTCCATGTGAAACTTCTTTGTATCTTGATTTCTTTTCATTTCTGTTTTTAAAGGTGATTAGTCCATTAATGCAATCTTTTAAAAACTGACTCGTTTTTTCTTTTAAAATTCTTCATCTCACAGTGTGTTTCTTCTAAGCTGAGCCCTGTCCCCTTGTCCTTGCCTCATAACTTTTTCACAATTGAAAAAAACCACTTATTCCCATATTTACTTACTTTTACAGCTGTTTATTTCCTTTCTTCCTGCTTTATCTCCCTGTTATAACCTCACTCTTGCTCAGATTCTTTTGTTGAGGGGAAAGAACTGGAAGATTTCCCAAACTGTTCCGGGAGAGAAGTCTCTAGACCTTGGGCAGGCCTTGCAAGACACAGGATCTTGCACAGTACATCTAATGAAAAACATTCATATCACAGGGCCGGGCCGCGGGTACAGGTCTGATTTGTCAAAGGTGGTCTCTGAAACATTATCAAACATTATCAACATTGCTTTGCTCCCATCCCTCAGTCCCTCTTCATTAACTCAAAAATTATTAATTGAGAGCCTATTCTGGGCTACTCAGCGTGGTGATTAAAGTAATTCGCATTAATGGGCAATGACTGATTGGCTTAATTCTCTATGGGGGCATTCACATTTCTCAAATGTGTGTATTAATCTAAATAAATCTCTGATTTGTGGAATAAATGTGAAACAAACCATTAACAGTCTATTCAGGATTTTCGGTGACAAAACAAAGGGACTTCCTTTCCCTTGGGGCCCCAAAGCGCCTCCTGATCCCGGAGAAAGTGGGCTAAGACAGAGAACTGGGAGGTAGAGTTTGTGTGTGTGCGTGTATGACACCACCCATCTCATCTAGAACTCTCTCCAGTGTATGATCTATGTGTCTTCTTCACTCATTTCAGATCAGGAGCGACAGGTACATATGGATTACAGTTAAGTCATATTATTCTTAAATTATAAACTCTTGCTCTCAGGATTCCATTCCCCAATCTTCCACAGAAAAGTTTCCAGATACCCACCTTTAAAAAGGTTTTCAGGAAAACAGTCTTAGCATCATAGAGGTCCTGGCTGCTGATTCTTCCTTGCAACTGGTCCTCTGCTACTGGAATGTTACAGTGACAGGATGAGAGGCACCAAAACCCCAAGGTGTCCGTTTCTCAAGGTAGCCTGGGCTCAATGAGCTATATCTCTTCCTCCAATCACTGTGCAAATTACGGGAAAAGGGTCCTGGCTGGGAGATAGTGCAGTGCAGTGGTTAGGATACCGAGGGCTGGAGGGTGGGACAGATATGATGAATGTGGCTCCCAACCCAACTCCTAGGAGCTCTGTGTCCTCGGGCAAGTCACTTCAGCCTCAGGTGGTGCAGCTTCTATACATAGCAACAAATGATTCTTACTGAAAGTGTGGGTGATGGGAGCAGCCCTTTCGTCCATCGCCCACCCCCGCCGCCGGATCTGTGTTGGATTCGGTCTTCCTACGGGGCGGGGGGGGGGAGGGGGGTTCTTTCACGTCCAGAAGCTTCCCATGGAAGGAAAGGGGGCAACGCTGAAATGGGTATGTAAGGGCCCTTCCCCTTCATCTCTGCTAGAGGAAGGACCTCCTTGAGTAGGCTCTGTACCACCCTGTTGCCTCTCCGGTCCTCACGTGGAGGAGCGGCTCTGTGGAGGAGAAGCTGGAGAGCTAGGGCGAGCAAGAAGAGAGCGTCCTCTTCCCTTTCTCTTCCAGGAGTCGGGGCGATGAGCCTGGCCCCATGGGCATGTTTAATTATAATTCACACCACTTGCCCTTTGACCAGCTCAGTGAAGTCTTGAACATATACCCAAATACTTTTTACCGGCCTTCTGTAAGCAGCTCAGGATACAGGAGGAGAACCAAGTTTCTGAAATGAAAAAAAATATATATATAGTAAAAGAAGTCGTGCTTCTTCCTGCCGGGGACTGTTTACGAGAGGGAAGTCAGCGGGGCCCCCAAGAGGTCGCTGGTGGCGCAGAAACTGAGGCCAGATGGTAGAGAAAGGGGGAAGGAGAAAAACACCCAGAAACTTTCTTCCTAGTTGCGAATAATCGCCGCCCCCCCCTTTCGCCCCCCGGTCAGAGGGAGTAACGTGACACCCGGGAGAAACCCGGAGACCCGGGCGCCGAGAGGGAGGGAAGAGGGAGGAGAGAGGGCTGCGGAGAGCCGGAGAGGGAAAGGGGAGGAGAAGAAGGAAAACCCCTGTCAAGGAGGTGGAGCGAGGGGGTGGTGTCCGCCTCCTGTTCCTCCCTGCCGTCTTTTAGAGGAGTCTGAACCGGGACAAAACACGCCGAGACCGACAGACACAAAGCCGGGGGGTCCACGCTGGCGCTGGAGGCGAGCCCCGGCGGCCGCGAGCGAGCCCGAGGCGCGGCGG